CGGATACAGTCAAGGACTCCTTCTATCACAAACTACATGAGCTTCTTCTCAAAGCACGTAAGACTGATATCGTGATCCTGGCCGGAGACCTAAATGCACGCGTTGGTCGTCTGTCACCCGATGAGACCNNCTCAGAACACGGTCTGTTCCTCGTTAGCACTGGACCGCAATGGCACGGGATCACAATGTCCCACGATAACGAGACGCGAGGAAAAGGCCACAGGAATGGTCGTTAGCAGTAGTTCGTTCGTTTATTGAAAGAAATGAGGGCCTTTAAATAATATGTACAAAAGAAGATTGTTGGTTGTCTAAGCTTCCACCAATCGGATTGCAATACTTCTTGCATAATCTTGCTTCTGTTTGCACTGTCTTGGATTGGCTGGCACCATCCACCAATGGCGTGTATACAGAAGCCATGCACGTGTTGTTGACGTCAGCATTCAAACTTGATTGATCGCGGATGTCCTGAAACTGTAACGCGCCGCTCCAGGTTAGGTGCCATTGTGTAGGCCTGGATCACCACACTTTTGTGTAGGAGGTGCGTAACAAACATTTCGCTCCCAATTTGGGATAAATCGATCATTCGAAATCAAACTACGAATTCGAACACTGAACCAAACAGCAATAAGACAAGACACAAGCCCATCAAATTTAATGAACACACGTACATACACTCCATAGAAAAGTTACGGAAAAATGGAAGTGATCTAAAAGTCTTCCATGCACTGTATTTTTGATACATTTGGAGCAGAATTGTATTGTATTGTGTGTAACTTTTAGAAGCACAGAAGCTTACACTTCCGTTAAGAAACTATACATACCATTAGTCACAGGGTAAATATTTAACAGGGAAAATGTTTACAGACAGTATAGGGGTATTTCATAGTCCAAGGGTAAGATGAGATTTATTTGTTTCTCTCTGTTTGTGACTAAATCAATTTCGAAATGACATTTGGTGGAATTCGGAACGTGTGAAGGGATGGGAATGACAACATTTCAGCCCTGCGTGCACTGGATTGTTAGAGTTTGTGAGACTCCTCGCCCCAAATTCGACACGAGTTGTCTGATAATATTAAAATTTCACAACTAGCTCGTTCACAGAAATAAAAGAAATGCGGTTAATCATAATTAAACATCAGGGTAAGACTCTGAAATCTTGATTAAGTAAGCCAGGAAAA